GCGCTCTCCTGCTGAGCGCTTTAAGATGCTTCTCCCAAAGCCCCCCTTGTGATGAGCCAAGGCCCAGCCCCTGCAAGCGGGGTCTCTGCAGACCAAGGCTGAGGTGTGCTGGCCAAGCCAGGGCACCCTGCGCTGCTCTCAGGACAGCACCTGCCACGTGCACCCACGCGCCCCCCGTGCACACCGACTTCGGGACAGAGCTCCTCCTGCTCCAGGTCTGCGCTCCAGCATCTTCCACCCAAGTCTGCACCCAGCACTTGCCTCCCCCTGCCACGAAGGGGCATGGGGAGATACACGTACAAAATACCAATCCTGATACATTTTTCCTACAAACCGGCAGAAGGGTGTTTTCTCAGCTGCCAGGAAACAAAGCCAGTTCCTCTATGAGCAGTGCATAAACTGTCTAAAATCCAACCCTATTTGCCTGGCAATCTCCCTGCTGAGTCAGCTCCGTTTGACTCCAAACACCCAACGCTTGGCAACCCAATGGCATCCTGCAAAGCAGGACAACCCACAAAACGGTGAAAGACTGGTGCGGACTCTTCCTCCAAACACACTCGTGACCTCTCCTGTCTCAGCGTTCATTTGTTCCCAAAACCACCGAGTAGCAAGAGGGAGAACGGGATTGCAAAGCAGCTCATTTGAGCTCCCACCTCAAACTCCCACACAAATACTCGATTTCAAGCTCACTGCAAAGCCCACCTTTGGGTGGCTATTTTACTTGTGCAAGAAGGCTGTTCGCAGTGCCAGTGCAGCATCAGTCCCTGCCTCAACTTCTGTTTGCTAGGGGAAATAAGAATATTAAGCCTGTTAAGAGTAAAAATGTTTAGCTTCTCTCTACTGATCCTCTTGCTAAACCACATGAAAATCAGTAAGAATGAGCTTCTGCTACAGCATGTTGAATTAGAGGGACCCATTTGGGGGTCATACCAAACTTCCATCAGTGCCAAGGCACATTCACGGTCTGTAGATCACTAGAGTGGTTATCTAGTGTCATCACCAGGTATTGACAAGTCTCTGCTGATACGTCCCAAACAGCTGAAAGAAGGCTTGGGACTGAAGAAAGAAAAGGAACACCTTATACTCAAATCAGCAAGATTAAGTTCAGGCAGCTTAGCAGAGATGAATCTTGAGAGGATTTGAAATGCAGGAATGAGCCACCATCACAGGAATTAATGTTGGATTCCAGTTAGAAGACAGCAGAGACAGAAGCAAATTTCAAAATCATTTCAGTTCAAATTTCAACACAAACAAAAAACTCTTCCCAATATCCAGGTTCTCTAAGAAACTGAGTTCACCAACTGTAAACAGTCTAAAAACTGAGCTGGAGACCAATTTCCCTCATTGATGGCACTGCAGTCTAGCTCAGCTCGAACTTGTGTGATTTGAATAGCTTGAAGTGAGGGTTCCCATCCCTGCAACACAGAAAACCCTACAGCAACAAAACCCAGCTACACCCCCCAAGGGTGGCATCTTGCTCAGGCCGTATTTGCCAGTGGAAACACAACCAGAAGTGAAACGTGTGCCTCGGGGCCTGCGTTCCCATACACTCAACATGCACACGTGCACACACTCACGCTCTCTGGGCGCCTTCCCGGTGTTCCCACAGTAACTATCCAGGCACAAGCAGTGACATGACCTCCCAGTGCACACAGCCTTTAATTAAAATCTGTTTGTCCTTGAACGGGCTGCTTTGCAGAGTATCTGACCTATGTAATTAACATCACTGCTCAGTTAGGGACCTAAGCAAGGAAGGGGAAGGGAGAAGAGGCTTTTTCTCTGCATCGCACTCTGCCAAGCCTTTGTTGCCACCGAAAGGGACAGGAGTAAAGAACAGCAATTATTAATAGAAACACAACCCACTTCTACAACCCACCTGCCCTTCCCACGTCCTCAGGGCCCCACACCAGAGCTAGTTCTGGGAAGCAACTCTGCATGCAGTTCAGTCACTGCAGGCTTAAAAGCACTCAAACACGATGCCAAGGGCGGAGGAACCAACTAAAGGTCAACAAACAAACTCTAACAACAAAGCACACTAAAACACTACACGTACAACAGCTTCCAAAGGCCATAGCTCAACTGTCCATAAGAAAAGACCAGAAGGGCGATTTAGGCAGAAGATAGAAATCTGCTGTTCAAGTGAGCCAACCTGAACCACCTTGACAGAGCAGCAAAGGAAAGGGAAAACAGTGAATAAAGACAGACTCAGGTTACAGCCCCCATTCCTCCCACAGCACGTGTCTGAGCCCTCCCCTACCTCTTCTGCAGGTTACGCATTTTCTGAACATAAACCCAGAGCTCCAAGCCCACTGGCAGAAGGAAGCAGCAAGGCTGAGGTCTGCTTGGAACGATTTTGCAGACAGGTCTCTCCATTAAGTTCAAAGGTAGGATCCAGGGTTTTGAAGATGCTGATGGCATCTTCATGTCTGTACAACACGCACAGCTCTCCAGTTTTCACTCCATCTGCTTGGGCCACATTACCAGCAAGTTACTGGAATCTTGAACTTTGTTTATCTGGGACACTTCTTTTTCTGTTCATATGCTGCCCTTGAAAGGGAAGGAGAAAGGAGCATTGCTTTTGTTTCCAGAGACCTAATGTCCTCTTTCCCCTAAGAAATATAATATTCTTCATCCACTGTTGGTTTCAGGTATCAGATAGGTGAGTTCACAGCTGAAATCCAGAAACAAGAGAGTGTCTTGGTTCATTCACATATTTTCAGTGCTGCCCAAAGAAGCAAAAGGGCCCTAGAAGAGTCCATGAGATGGCCCAAGTTGAAGGCAAGCAGCTCCCTCCTTTCTAAACTGGTCTCTTCCCAAAGCACTTTGCCTCTGTGGTCGCATCAGCTGTTCCTGTTGGTGCCTCTTCGCTCCAAGAGCGGAAGGACTTCTGCTGCTATGAACCTCTCCTTGTCAGGTGAGGAGCTCAGGGTTCCTTCAAAAGAGGATCATCTTTGGGCAGAAGCATATGTTAGTTCGACGGGCTCTAATGAGGCCTCATCCATCTGCCACCTAGGAAGCTTTGCAAGTTCCAGAAGCAATCTGAGCATTTCTCAGACTGGGGAAAAGCAGGAGAAGGCAGATCCCACAGAGTACATCCCTGCCCATTTAAATGGGCTCCAAAACATCCCCATCTGAGCAGACACAGCCCTCTACCCCCCAGGTATTAAATTTCTCTGCTGACATACAGGCAACATGCCTGGGCCTATACCACCTCAGCTCAGCAAGCACCTACTATTCATGTCTTAATACCAGAAAAGAAGATTCAGTCCCTCCTGAGCCAGCAAATTACTGCTGACAAGCTGAAGGTGCTGGGCTTGGCCATATGGTGTGGTTCAGAAGAGAGACACTGCAGAACATGAGCTGTTTTTCTTACTTCCACAGCTAAGATGCTAGAGCTTGTTAATGCAATTCCCCCACCACTCAACCTTTTAGCTAAAGCATGGTATGTCCCTGCCTGGGGGTTTGAACAC